GTGTTTTTGTGGTCATGTTGCTTTACACCTGTCTCTTATACACATCTAGATCCGATGGGGAAATTACCAAACCGATGGGGGATTAATCCCTCTGTCTCACCCCCCCCCCACAACCCGACGGCGCAATTAGATTTAATAAATTACATTTATTATACAAAAAAACTTATAGGCCTATAGTATAAAAATTATGTATAAAACATTATAATATAGGGCCTAAATAAATATATAAAATATATAGGCCTATTGCCAGTTGGAATATTTTCTGTTAATTTCAATAAACAATTTTTTCAAGTGTATTTCTTAATTTTAATTCATGTTTATATTATACAACCCGAATTTTAACATTTAAATCATGTTTTCTGTATAACTGTATATCTGGAGATAAGATCTGTCAGTTCAAAACATAATATAATAAGGTGAAATGCAATAAACAAAGTACAATATAAGCCAAATTGATATTTTGAGAACGAAACACTAAAATTGATAACGAGAAAGTTAGCAAATCGAGATTTGTAGGCCCTTATTCTGTACTACAGAACTAGACTATTGTTTAAATCCAACGGTGAAAATTGTCCTCGAATCTCCCCAGGTAATTTTAATGAGGATACAAGACAGCAATTGAAAAATGTTAACATATCGCAGTCGCAAAGAAAAATTCAACTTGACGTAACATGCATGTGACGACGTTAGAAGAGGCTTTGCCGTTCGAGCTTGAAAGATTCAACTTATCGTAAGAATCGTAACCGGCTTATTTTGTCTGCAGCCCAGCACGATCAAGACGCGGCTGTTTTTGTCCAACTGCTCGTAACAGTCGTAAGAATCTACGGAAGCACCTAAGTGCTATCTCGCCATGTCGACATGATATGTATATTATGTCGACTTGACAACATAATTATCTTGACAAGTCGTCAAGTCGAATGGCACTTAGGTGCTTCCGTAAGAATCGTATGAATCGTAAGAAATTCTGAACTTTACGTCGACAGGAAATCAGGCTTTAGGGGCGAAGAATGTCATTTATCTAGTTCCTAGTCCACATATCAAGCACCCTGAGCATCTTACAGTAGATGGATATGTGGGCTATATAAAACTACACTATTATTACTATTATGTCTATCTATTTCGATTTAGTGAAATTTTGCAACAATGTTACGTTGACGCAATCTCGCAATGACGTCATAATAATCAGTGGTAAATTCAAGTGGGGTCGAGCCGACACTAAATTTTTCAAAATTATTTTTTAAAAATGGAAAAAACAAAGGAAAATTATAATTAGAATTTAGGTCTAAAAGTGCCATCCGGCAATCTAGAGGTGTCATAATCATAAATTTTCTTTCCTCAGCCCCAACCATGGTGGGGCTGAGGTGATCTACTCTCCAAATTGTGAAATCAAAATGCTAACTAATGTTTTATGTGCTCCCTATCTCCCTAGTCCTGTTGATCGTAAATTAGACGGTATTATTTCCACTCACAAATAGTTTAGTCGCAATATTGCTTACACAAAAGTGAAATTCAAAAAGAGGAGAAAAGCAAAAACCTCTTAATTGATTTTAAAAGTACATGCAAAAAGGCTAAATTAATGACTGTTTTAAGTTTGTTATTTGTTTTTCATGGTTTGAATACGTCACTAGCTAATCAGTAGATAATAAATCATTATTTTTTATGAATGTTTTTGCACGAAATATATAAGCGGGCATAATTATGACTAAAAGGATAATTTTAAAAACTTTTATGATGAGTATTTCAGTGGCAGATCCAAGGGGCCCAGCCGGCCCACCATCCCTAATTTTTTGTTATTGTGTTGTTTTGAGACCGGATTCTGGTTGGAGTTTATACATAATAAAAGTTTATTTGAGAGTTGTGTTACAACATTGTGAGCTGTGTTTGTATTTTATATGTCAAAGAGGGATTCCTAGTCATTTCTTTACCGCTCGGAAATACGTCAAGTAGGAATTCATGACAAGTCGAATATATTTTTATTTGCATTTATTTCCATAAATACAGCACAGGCCTACATCAAAACACAGTCTGGTTTTAAACGCCAAAGGAATGATGGGCTGGGAGCTGAGTTCGTTTCCAGGGCCAGTGAGCTGGTCTTCGGTTATGATTTTATATTTACCTCATGCTACCAGTGGCGGATCCTAGAATTCGAAATTCGACTCTAATACATAGAAAGTCCATTTACCCCACCCATGCCATGTTTATGATTATGGCACCTCTAGATTGCCGGAAATGGCACTTGACTCTGAGACTTAAATTTGAATATAATTATTTTTTTCTCCATTTTTGTTTATAATATTGAATTTAGAGGCCCCCGCCCCACCACTGGCTACTACATGTGGATTGACTTAATAAACATATTATTTGAACATATATTAGGCCTATATAGACCTAGGAAAATATTATGCATTAATAATACACACCTGATAACTGATGTATTGTACGTGGCCTGTTTCTGTGTTTTTGTGGTCATGTTGCTTTACACTGGACAACAATTCACATAGTCTGGTTACATTGTGGTATACGATTGACTGACATTGTACGCGACTCAGGCAGAATTGTGTACATTGAGTTGCACTGCCAGCTTTGGTGGTCAGAATAGTAGTGTCTTCGGCTGACATCGGTCGAAATCCATATTTTGTAAATATCACAGATTTCGTACAAGAAATTAAACCTATTAAAAAACAAAAAAGAGTTTATTATCATTGTAATTATAATTATCATTATAATTTATTAATGTATTATGACTTCATCCGAAAAGAGAAGAAAATGTTATTGAAATATCATCATCATTTTGTTGCGGGGATATGAACCTTCTTGAGTGGGTCATGTAATGCTGATAATCTTAAGCGCATATACAGTATATCATGCGCTAGGTAAAAACTTGACATGTGTTTAACCTGAGCCTGAAATTGGTAAAAAAAAATAATGAGCTTGGGAAAACCTTTACTTGTTCTTATAAAGAAAGGTATATTACAAATATCTGCAGCTTGACTAGCTAGAGACATAACACTGGCACTACATCTAAATTTAGTTGGTTGTATAACTATTCACAAGCCAACAACCTGGATCAGTCGTAGCCAAATGCACCGATATCTGTACAATTTTACTGAAAATATACAGTGATTCGAATATTTAAAATTGCTAAACTTACCTTTATTTACAGGAATGTTTGCAGCAACGATGGCTAAAATGAGCATGAATTTGTAGAACATCATTGTCAACTTGTATATTGGTCGCACGTTCAATATCAATGACTTCCAAATATCTACTTGTAGTTTGGCACGCACCGCATTGTAAACACAAAATTTTATCAAAATACATGAATAAACATATTTTTAAACCATTGGAGCACGAAATCTAACAATCAATGACCTTTTTTCATACGACTGAAATAAAGGAACTTTTTGTTGATGAGCTATGCTTGATACAATATTACAACATGTTTATATTCGAGCACTGTTATTATTATTAATCTATATTTGTTTATATTGTGTTTACAATGCTATGCAGCAAACTTGATTTTAATATTACAACTTCTCAGCTACGACCTACAGGCATTTGCAGCTTAACGATGACTCCACTATGTGTGAGCATCAGTTAATTGTATGCGAAAAATTGTCTGGGAGTTAGATCATAGAGAAAATAGAACAGTTCTATTCTATTTTCTCTAAGGTTAGATCTGCATGTTTGCGCCTTATCGCTATTTGCTCTATTTGGTTGATTTAACCAAAGATCTTAAAAACTAAAACTTTGACTAAACTCAGTTTTCAATGAGCATGTTGCTGCACTTTTATTAGTTCGAAACGAGCAATATTTAAATAATTAAGTGCAGCATGTTTTTTTTTTTTGTTTTTTTTTTCTTATGCCTAGGGCTATGTACACATACGGTAAATAATCCATGTAGGGATTAGGTAGTCAACACCAATCTCAGCCTCACCATGGTTGAGGGCTGAGGCGAGACAATTTTAAGAAAAGACCCCTCTAGACGCTCGGAAATGGCAATATAGTAAAAATGCTTTTCAAATCAGTGTTCCTCGACAAGACTATTGACTTCCTCCCTACGGAAGCTATACTCCCCCTCCCTCACAGGCGTCGCAAAGGTCCAATCAAGGACCTAAGGCCTAGTCTATTCTATAGTCGGAGTCGCAAAGCAAATTATGGTTATGGCACCTCTAGATGCCCGGAAATGGCACTCAGTCACACTTTGAATAATTTATCTCCATTTTTTTTTGAAAATTGACAAATGTAAGCGGAGGGTTCTGGCCGACTGGGCACCCCACCTCCTACCAGATTAAGAAGATATGTCCTATCAGTCAATGTCAGAGACACATTATACTGTTATGTATCAACGAAGCTTTTTTGGATCAGGGTGCTATAGGGCGAGGACCCTATGGGTAGGGGCACCGAAGGGCCAATAAGGGTGAGTAGCCCTGCGGACCACCACAAGAAAAAACTCCGTCTTAGGTCTACGTCTTTTGGTCTTTTTTACATCCTCATTTATGAAATCGTTAGAAACAAAATCGGGGATATAGCGTTGTGTTCGTCGTCAATCAATTGAAATTCAAAATTAGTGAGTGGTAAAATAATCGAGCTCTCCTTCCGCCCACTGCTGGATGGCCACTGAATTTATGGGTAAACTTCCTTTTTTACTTCTCTCCTCCCCCTTTTCTTGATTCTTTTCTCTTTCTTTTTTATTTTTCGGC